AAGAGGGGGAAATGGGCTGGAGGAATGTGGTAAGGACGTAGCAGCTGAACGTGAAAAACAGGGTGTATGTTGATGTGAGGTGGAAGTTTCAAACGGTAGGTGAGGAGAGAGAACTTGGGTGATGGTGAAAGGGCCGATGAAACGAGGTGCAAGCTTACGAGTGAGACCTTTCTGCAGCAAGGGAAGGTTTGTTGATCGGCATAGCGGATCATTCGGTGTTGAGATTTCAGAAAGGAAGCGCGTGCTGCTGCAATGGTCTTTTCCCGAGTAGAGAGGAATTCGGCTGCTGACTTGGTGTCACTGCTGCGTACGAGAGAAGCTGGTGTGCGGGGCTGCTGCCCTGTAGCGAGGAAGAAAGGGGTTTGTCCCGTGGCGAGGTTCACCGTGTTGTTGTAGGAGAATTCGATCGATGGCAGGTGCTGGTCCCAATCGTTTTGCCGTGCACTCACGCATGCACGCAGGGCATCTTCAAGGGTTCGATTCATCCTCTCGGTCTGCCCATCAGACTGAGGATGGTAGGCAGTGGAGAGACGAATCTTGGTGCCCAATCTGTTGAAAAGGGACTGCCAAAATCTGCCAACAAACCGAGAATCACGGTCACTGATTAGTACGGAAGGAATGCCATGGAGACGTACCACCTCGTTGAAGAAGAGATCAGCGACGTTCTCAGCAGTAGCGGTGGTGGAGGTAGGGAGGAAGTGTGCCATTTTGCTGAGCTTGTCTACCACTGTGAGGATAGCGTTGTGATGGGAGGAGGTGCGAGGCAGATCTGTGATGAAATCGAGTGTCACATGGGTCCATGGGAGTTGAGGGATTTCCAGAAGGTGTAGGAGGCCGTAGGGTGCAGCGTTGCGAGCCTTGTTGCACTGGCATGTGTGGCAGCTGTGTACGTAGGAGAGAACATCTCGAGAGAGCTTGGGCCAGAAGAAGTTGGAAGAGATGGCAGCAAGCGTTTTGTCCACTCCGAAGTGCCCATTCTGGTCATGATGCTCGCGTAGCAGGAGGTGACGAAGCTTGCGCTCTGCGGGGACGCAGATGACTCGGGAATCGGCCTTATACCAAAAGGGGGATTCGTAGAAGACAGATTTATCATCAGCAGCAGAGTAGAGATAGAAACGGTCACGACGATACCCTTTGGTGAACTTCTTGATGAAACTTTCTTCCCATGTGACGCTTCCGATGGTGGTGAGCTGAGGTTGAGGAGGCCGGGTCAAGGAATCAGCAGGGTTGAGGCGGCCAGCGCGGTACTCGATTTTCAGCTCCGGTACGTACTGTTCCAGGTACTCCATCCATCGGGCCTGCCTCGGGGTGAGATGGGGCTGCGTCTTCAGGTATTGCAGGGTGCAGTGATCGGTTAAGACAGTGACGGGCTGCATGTGAACATAGCAGCGCCACTTCTTGATTGCATGGACGATGGCCAGCGCCTCGTGATCATGAGTAGCATAGTTGCACTCGGCAGGTTTGAGTTTCCGGGACTTGAAGGCGATAGGCTGAAGGCCATGCCCTTGATCTTCACAGAGAATTGCACCCATTGCAACCTGAGACGCATCTGTCCATATCACGTAGGGAAGGGAGGGGTTGGGTAGGGCTAGAGTAGGAGAAGAGGTTAGTGCACACTTGAGAGCATTGAAGGCAGTTTGCTGGTCAGAGTCCCAATGGAATGGTTCAGTTTTGCGAAGGTTGTATAGGGGAGAGGTGATGGCAGCAAAGTGTCGAATGAACTTGCGGTAGTAGTTGGCAAGACCAAGGAAGGCTTGCACTTCCTTGATAGAGGTTGGCTCCTTCCATTCCCTGATGGCGTTGAATTTGGATGGGTCCATAGCAAGCTGGTTGTGTGAGATGATGTGGCCCAAGAAAGGAATCGAGGGCTTGGCAAACTCACACTTGCTCTGTTTGGCGAAGAGACGATGCTCACGAAGCCGTGTGAAGACTTGCCTTAGATGCTCGGCGTGTTCCTTCAAGGATTTGCTATAAATCAGAATGTCATCGATGAAGATGATGACAAACCGGTCCAAGAAATCCCGAAAGACACTGTGCATCAAGGACATGAAGGTGGCAGGGGAATTCGTTAGTCCGAAAGGAAGTACGAGAAACTCGAAATGCCCATACCGTGTTCGAAAGGCGGTTTTCTCGATGTCTTCATCAGCGACACGCACTTGATGGTAACCGCTTCGTAGGTCCAGCTTGCTGAAAATTGTGGCCTCACCAAGTTGATCAAAGAGTTCTTCCACGCGAGGTAGCGGGTAGCGATTCTTGACGGTGATTTTGTTGAGCGCACGGTAGTCAACGCACATGCGCATGCTGCCATCTTTCTTTTTGACGAAGAGAATCGGTGCTGCATAGGGAGAGGAGCTGATGCAAATGAAGCCCTTCTCAAGAAGCTCCTCCAACTGCTTCTGAACTTCTTTCAGCTCGGCAGCGCTCATCCGGTACGTAGCGCGAACTGTAGGTTCAGCACCGGGTTGTTAGATGATGCGGTGATTGATGGCACGCTTCGGAGGGAGTGAAGAGGGAAGATCAGCAGGGAAGATGTCTTTGAACTCATTGACAACCTGTTGAATTTCAGAAGGGATTTCAGCAGCCTTGGGAGGGGAAGAGAGACTAGGAGTTTCTGAAATTTGATTCAAAAAACAGAGGAAGAATTGAGAGCTTGGGTCCTTGAGGGATTTTTTTAGTTGCCGTTTTGAGAGGAGGTTGCAGCAAGTGGGGGTAGAGGAGGAGGAGGAGGAGAAGGTAGGTAAGGTGATGTCTCTTCCAGAGTGAGAGATGGTGACGGTTCCAAGGGTCCAATCGATTTTGGGATTTTTTCGGGAAAGCCAGTCACGTCCAAGAATTACTTCATGGTCTCCAAGAGATGCCTGCTGAAATTGAATCTTGTCTTTGTAGGGTCCAATGGTGCATGAAACAGGAAATGGTACTCGTCCACATGAGATCGAGGTTCCGTTCGCCATCAACACTGTTTGAGGTAGGGAATCAGTTTGAGTTGGGAGGGAAAGCTTGGAGAGTAGAGAGGAGGAGATGAAGCTAGAGGAAGCACCATTGTCAAGTAGGGCTTTCACTTTCCGACCGCGAATCAGCATAGAAAGTAGAAGGGGTTCAGAGGGGTTACGGCTTTCAAGAGAAGAGATAGTTGGGCAGGTATAGTCACCAGAAAGTTGCCCCAAGTTTACTGGCGGCTTGAGTTTCCCGGTGTTGGAAGTATCGGGGGCAGATTGGTGCGTTGGCGGCAGAACTTCCAGATGTGTCCTTTCTTGCCGCACTTGTAGCACACAACGACAGGCCTCGGGTTCCTCTTCCTCTTCTCCATCAGGTCCAGGTCCATAGGTGCAAGTTCTTGCAGATTTGAGTCCGTTGGAGTAGAGGGCTGGTAGGAGGGAGCAAACGGGAGGAACGGGCTACGAGGAAAGCGAGGCTTGTTGTATGCGTAATGGACAGCATCATACCGTTCAGCCACGCGTATCATTTCCTCGAGCGTAGAGCAGTCCCTCAGCTCGACCTCCATGTGCACGTTCGTTTTCAGCCCGCGCTTGAAACGATCCATCCGTTCAGCATTGGAAATGTCCGGGATCTCTTGAGCAATGTCACGGAAGCGAGAAGCGTATTCTTGAACAGATTTGAGCTGCTTCAGAGTAGCCAAGGAGTCTCGTGCTCGGATGTTCGGGTTCACCGGTTGAAAGGTAGCAGTGAAGACTTGCTTGAATTGATCCCATGACTGGATGGTCGCATGCACGGATTGCCACCAGATGATAGCAGATCCACGAAGAAGGGTGCCGGTGAAAGCAGTCCACTTGGCAGGAACTATGTGACTTAGGAGCAGGTATTTCTCAACAAGAAATGGCCAACGGCTCACGACAGGTTGGTTTCTCCCGGGAAAGAAAAAATCAGGAAGAGCGGGTCTAGCGCGCTGATTTCCATCTGGCGGTGCAGCAGGGCTCGAGGTTGCTGCCGCCACTCCAGCTGCAGCTACACTAGCTTGTATCTCTGCTTGCAAGCTCTCTCTAACTTCAGCAACAAGTTGGGCTCGTTACGTTTCCAAGTAGCTGGCCCATTCATCCCGAGAAGGTACCTTACTAGTCGTCATGATGCTGTTCTCAAGAAAAGGAGGGTCGAAGATAGCTCGGATACCAAATGAAACAGCCACTAAGCTGTTTTGGCAGAGTAGTAGTAGTAGGAAGAGCTCTTAGGAGAATTCTAGAAAGATAGTAGCAAGATAGCTTTACAAGAGATCATATGATGGCATACATTTCAGAGATGCATCCTAATATACTAGGATACTAGCATGGGCGCCTCGAGCTGGTCGCTCAGGTCGCCATTATTATTCCTAGAGCTAACAACAGCAAGGCATAGTCACTAATATTATTTACAAGAGATACTAGCCTTGTTGTCATATCCTAGAACCAATAAGCATAGCCCAGGAATTCACTAAACACATGGGCAAATACTATTTGTCTTGTTGTCGTCCACACTATAGTAGATAATGATGATCATGAGCACCGTTGGAAGTAGCCATAGCTGTAGGAAGCTATGCTTGCTTGTGCTGTCAATTGCTTTGCTGCGCTGTTGGAGTTCTCTGCCGTGTTGTGTCCAGCACTAGTAGTATGCTCTCTGGAGTTGTTCCCACGGTTGGAAACTCAGAATTACGAGCCGCACAATTCAATGTTGGATTCCAACATTGAATTCCCGAAATGTACTTAGGGCGTGTTCCGAATTCTAGTTCGGATCACAAGGAGCTGAGCTGGCGAAATCGAGGGAGGCGAGATCGCCTTCGTCTTGTTACACGCTTCCCACTCCGTAGCTTCTATTCCCCACCGTAGGCCGATTTCCACCGTTTAACCCTAGAATAGTCCACAAGCTTCCTTCGCCGTCATTCCGCCATCGTAGAAGCTTCCGCCGTAGGTTCCGTGGTTGGGCGAACCAACACTAACACCTCACTGCTCACTCACATCTTCTTTTTCTCTCTTCTCTTTACACCCTCTCCCTTGACCTCTGCAGCGGTTCAGATGATGAAGGCAGCGAATGGTGACGACATGGTGAAACAGATGACACACCGTAGCATGCTGCAGAGCACGCTGGAAGGCGCGAACGGCGAAGGCATGGTGGCAGAAACAGCCAGTGGGAAGGTCAAAGCGAGGATTGCGCAAGAGACGGCCAGCTGTGGTACGTCCAGCGGGTATGATTTTGAACAGAGGGATTCTCAAGGCCGGGAATGACACCGCATTTCTCTCAAGGGCAATCTCCCTTTGGCGGATCTCAATACAGTTCTCGTTCTGATGCCCTTATGACCTCAAAATGAGCATGTCCTTGTCTTTTGCCACTTTCCCTTCGCATCTACTGCAGATCCTGCCTGTGCGGCGTTGCGTTGTGAGCCTGTTGGCGGCAAATGCGAGGTGGAAAAAAAACGGGGAGCGCTACTGCAAGTGGGGTGAGTGAGCATGGCGTTGCTGCCAGTGGGGTGAGCACATGGTTTCTGCTTTCCCACTTCCACCTCATACCATGCATTCGTACATGGTATAGCAACCCCATGCCATCCAGCCCCATAACTGGAGCTCTTGATGAGCCACATAGGTTTCAATTCAACCCCAGATGTTTTTGAGGTAGAGCCCTCAAAGCCATCATTTATCATGTAACCTCATGTCCCCACCCCGTAAGAGTGAGAGTCATGTTCCTTTTTCTGCTCACCCCATGCCATCGGATGTGACCTCATGTCAATACTGTATGAGAGTTAGAGTGCACAATGCTCTGGAACTCTTTCCTCTGGCCTACCTCCTGTCCCTCTCACTTCTCTGGAACTCCACATGCACCGCACTTTCAACTATCCCCCATTCATGCTTATCCCACCGTCTCTCTGCCCTGTTTCCCTCTCCCTTGCTTTCCCCCTCTGCCTTGCTTCTTCCCTCTGCCTTGCTTCTCCCCTCTACCTTGCTTCTCCCCTCTGCCTTGCTTCTCCCCTCTGCCTTCCTTCTCCCCTCTGCCTTGCTTCTCCCCTCTGCCTTGCCTCTCCCGTCTGCCTTGCTTCTCCCTCTGCCTTGCTTCTCCCCTCTGCCTTGCTTCTCCCCTCTGCCTTGCCTCTCCTCTCTGCCTTGCTTCTCCCTCTGCCTTGCTTCTCCATCTGCCTTGCTTCTCCCCTCTGCCTTGCTTCTCCCCTCTGCCTTGCTTCTCCCCTCTGCCTTGCTTCTCCCCTCTGCCTTGCTTCTCCCCTCTGCCTTGCTTCTCCCCTCTGCCTTGCTTCTCCCCTTTGCCTTGCTTCTCCCTCTGCCTTGCTTCTCCCTCTGCCTTGCTTCCCCCCTCCTCTTTGCTAATCCATTCTCTCGTGCTTATCCGTTGGTTGCTGGGCCCTTCAAACTCACTCTGCCGGCCCCTCTGCATTCACAATCGTGTATCAGTTGCTCAGAGATACAGTTGTACACCGATGCCCACCCCTCAACCTCATAATCCCACCGTTCCCCATCCTTTCCTTCTCCATCACGTGCTGCATTCTTCAGAATCACTCTGTGGCTCCTACCCCTCGGGAGCCACCTGCAAAACTTATCAGAAGCCTGACACAAACGTGCCGATTCCTTACTGTTCGTGCCCTAGCGGGTATGGGATGACCGCGACCAGCTGTGTTCAGGGTGAGACTCGTTGATGCATGCTCTCCTCACCCGGCCTCCTCTCCCCACCCACCCCACTCTCCCCTCTCCCACTCAACCCACTCTCTGCTTCACTTTTCTTGCTCTGCCTGTCGGCTAAACCACTGATGCTTGTGGGAATGTGGCAATGCATGTACACATGTATAAACGTCCTTCCTTTGAGCTGATTCCTTTTGTCATGGCTGACAAACACTACTCTGAGTGCTTACTTTGTGCCCCTCTTTATCAGGTGGAGCTCCCACCGTCTCTTCCTACACCCACACACTCATCAAGAATGCAACAGCCAAGGGCGCGGCTTCTTGGCCGTGGACCTTCCGCCTCAACCTGAACGCGTGCACTCGGATGCCACCTGCAGTGGCTGGCATTGTTGACTCAATGTATAACATTGAGAACGTCGGCGATGCTCCTCCTTGCAGCACAATCACAGACTATGCAGTAGATAACTGCGAAGGCGATATTGTGCTCCAAAGCCCCGCAGGCAATCTCGCATCGTATATAATGTAAGTGATTGCTTGTGTTCCACCTGCATTGTGAGTGACTGCTCGTGTTTCACTTGTATGCTTTTACAGCTTCTCTTCCCTTTCATCACCGATCATCAAAGGTGATACCTCGTGAGTCATCGTATCCTTTCTGTCCTCCCATTGTTTCCATTGACCAGGAACACTTCACAAAATTATACCGGCTCAATGCAGCGCGCTCAATAAGATGGCTCGGGGACTTGCCGCGGGGACGTCTGCTTGAGAAATCCTTGTAGAGCTGTACTGTACACTGTTGTGCTTCATAGGTCTTGATTGTACTCTTTTGCCGGGTCTAGTTGGAGTCTGATTCATCTGTGGTCCTGAGTCTGAATGCACCCTTGCAACGTCACAATCACACACCACATGGGGCAGGGTGTACCTGGGTGTTAACCAAACGGTGTGACTTACGTCTAGTAGGAGGACACATATGGTAATCCGGATTCTGGATCTTAGGCACCCAAGCTGCATTACAAAGTACTAAGAGGCTACCCCTGTGGGCTGCATGCAAGCACTGAGTGGACGCAGAGGGTTAGGGGGGGGGTTATAGGGAGGGAAAATACTGCTTTGAGGTGTCGATCCAGCATTTTCGGTATTACAAAGTCCCAATCCAGTAGAGTTACTCTTCAGGCACACAAGCTCCTCCCCCTCTCCACTCGTCTCACTACCCATCATGCCTCCCACATCTCCCTCGCTCTCCAGTTCCTCACTCCCCCTATGCATACCACCACTACTCTCTTTCGTCCGAGTCATACCACTCACGGAGCTGCTTGGGAGTAAGGTTCTCGCGCGGACGCCGCTGCAGCTGCACCTGGCCACCGCCAGAAACTCCGCACTGAACAGCTCCGCCGAGACTACCACTACGGCCGCCGCCACCACTCCCACTGCTGCCACCACCGCCGCCACCGCTCCCACCACTACCACAAAGAGAAGTCATAACGGGCAAAGTAAGGAGGCGTGCGACCAGCAGGGCAGCACTCAGCGAGGGCAGGGCGGCGAGCAGGCACTAGGGTAGCGCGTAAGGTAGGGCGGGGCGGCGCACGGTCAGTGAAGGTCGGCGCGCAGCCAGAGTAGGGCGACGTGCTGCAAATAGGGCGGTGCAAGGGCAGGCAGGGGCGGTGCGCGGCCAGGAAAGGGCGGCGCGCAGGCAGGCAGCGCGGCGCGCGGGCTGCAGAGGGCGGCGCGCGGACATGCAGCGCGGCGCGTGGGCAGGCAACGCGGCGCGTTGGCTGCAGGGCGGTGCATGGGGCTGCAAAGGGCAGAGCGCGACCTGCAAGGGCGGCGCACAGGCTGCGAAGGGCAGCACACGGCCAGCAGGGCGACGCGTGGGCTGCAGAGGGCGGCGCGCGGACAGGCAACGCGGTGCGCGGGCAGGCAGCATGGCGCGTGGGCACGAAGCGCGACGCGCGGGCAGGCAGCGCAGCGCGCGGGCTGCAAAGCGGTGCGCGGGCTGCAAAGGGCAGCGCGCAGGTGGCGCAGAGCAGGGCGTGGGGTAGCATGGTAAGCGCAGTCGGTCACTAACTAATGGTGGGCCAAAAGAAAAAACAAAACGGTCTTACGGACCTACCCTAAACCCAGAATCTAACAAGCAGGAATGAATGCACTAGGCAGAAATGTGTGCACAAATACTAACCCTAATTGGGTTGTACCCTATATGGGCTACCCCACTACAGCCTACACAGCACAAACATGATTCCCAGTTTTGACAATCCCATCCTCGTGCCTCCTCTTAACTAGCACCGTATATTACTTGGGCCGTCCTCCAACCCAAGAAAAGTCTATCATCTTCTTTCCTGCGGTCAGCAACGCCTTTTCAATGGAATCCGAAATCTTCTGGTATGTAGCTCCCATATTCTTGCAACCCCACGGGCCTTCTTTATTCTCTGGCCTCTTCCACCTGAGGCTCCTTCGAGTCTCCACCTCTACTGAAGCAGCATCGTGGCTGCCACTGCTGCCAAAACACACACATCCAACACAGCATGCGGTAACTCCGCACCCCCCTCCGCAAGAGCGCGGTTCTTTATAATCACATTCGCGTTCTCCAGCACGTCCCCCGCGTGCCCGTTGCCCTCACCCTATGTGAATGGACCGGGAAGAAAGGCGACACCTCAATGGCGCGAGTAGGGGATGCATGGAGCAGTATAGGCCCATAATCGCCACCATCGGCAAGTTTGCCGACTGCGCGCACTAGGGTATCCATCTCGCCATCAGCTACGCGTACAAGAGTTGCCTCATCATGGACCTCCATACTAACAAAACCCACCTGCACAAGACGCTCTGTTCTACGACCACCTCACCGTCGCCAAATACCGTGCTGATGAACAATCAGGAGCTACATGGGTCTATGCTCCCGAAGGCAGGAGCTTCGCCTCTTTCGAGGACCAAGCCGCGGTAGCCATCCTCTACCGTGATGCAGACGACGAACACTCGGGAACCACCCCTCGCCAGCGCGATGACGACGACAATGGTAACAACGATGACAACGCTCACAGATCACCACGACGCCAAAACCCAGCACCGCATTCCCCGCCTGCACCTGAAAGTGACGAATGCGTTGTTACATGACTTTCAGGTGCAGGCATTATTACATGACTACAGCTACTCAGGCTCCACACTGCAACAGCCAATGCCCCACGCGTCATCGAGCCTAAGAACCCGAGACAAGCCGTAACCGGTCCTCACGCCAAGGAGTGGCGCGCAGTGATGGACGTGGAACTAAAGGCGCTACAATTGCGGGATACCTGGGTCCTAGTCGATCGAGCAGCAGTATAAGGCAGGAGGGTTATATCAGGAAAGTGGGGTTTCTGTGTGAAAACTGCTGCCGACGGAACTACTTAGCGCTTCAAGGCTATGTGGTTCATACGTAGCTACCGTCAGCACCACGGCATCGACGTCGACTAGACCTCTGCTCCCGCAAGCCGGCATACCTCTTTGCGCATACTCGCCATCGCCACTGCTGGGAACCTACCGCCCCGATGGATCGACATGAAAAATGTGTTCCGATACTCGCTTGTTGATGTAACAAGCTTCGTGGAGCAGCCACACACTTACGGGGAAGGAGACACGAGAGCCTGCTAGCTAAAGAAGTATCCGCACCAGGTCAAGCACGCACCACGACTGTGGCAGCAGCAGGTTTTACTGGAGATAGGCCTATATTTTTGCGACGACTACATTCTCCTCACCGTGTACGTCAATGATTTGTTATACACAGGAACCAGCAATGCCGTGCTGGATCAGTTCGAGAGGAACCTGGCACCGCACGTCGACATTACCACCAATCACAATGTGGCATAGCTTTTGGGGCTCAACATTTCATACATGACAGAAGCTATTCATCTTCCAGCTTCTAAGCACGTCAAGTTACAAAGTGAGCAGTTCAAGATTTCCCCAGCACCACCCTCAACTCCTTGCGGCTCGCCGGGAGCCAACCACAAACCGGACGACAAACCAATGTCACCCGCGGGACTCCATCTCTACCAGTAGCAACTGGGTTGCATGCTGTTCGCCTTCGTCATTTGCAGGCCCATTAGGTCGGTATTTACACAAGTTAGTGGCATAGAATCTGCTAGACCTCGAGCGTGCCCTGGAGTACTTCATTTTCACGCCGGGTATTGGGCTCTCTACTCAACTATGTCAAGACGTTGCTTCAACATCACCGTATATGTGGACGCAGATCACACCACTGATCCTCACAACCGACGGTCAAGAACGGGCTTCGTTTTCCGCCTCGAGCCAACTAAGCCAATCTCTTGAATCTCTAGAAGCAGAAGCTGGTTGCCCAGTTGTCTGCCGAAGCTGCATCCATCGTCGCAATAGCTGCAATCCACGAAGGGCTCTATTCACAAAAGCTTCTGCGAGATGCAAAAATTCCAACACTGAATACTACTGTAATAAGGAAATGTTCCTTCGCTAGTTAGGACTTTTCTATTTCTATATAAGCCCATGTATGCCTGTGTTATAGTTGTAAGGAATTACAATTCCTTACTGCATTCGCACTTTAGCGAGTACATCCCGAGGGTCACGCGACGAACCTATTCGGCCTATTTCGTTGCATTGAACCACTCCCGAGTTGCCTCCGCACCAATCGCAACCATCACCGAGCCATCTTTGCCCGACCCCCCCGCCTAGCTGGTTTTCCCCCTATAGGTCTCGTCA